TGAGACGGAGTTTCGCTCTTGTTGCCCAGGCTGGAATGCAATGGCACAATCTCAGCTCACCGCAACCTCCGCCTCCCGGGTTCAAGCAATTCTCCTGCCTCAGCCTCCTGAGTAGCTGGTATTACAGGCATGCACCACCACGCCCGGCTAATTTTTTTGTATTTTTAGTAGAGATGGCATTTCTCCATGTCGGTCAGGCTGGTCTCGAACTCTTGACTCCTATTGATGTGCCCACCTTGGCCTCCCAAAGTGCTGGGATTACAAGTGTGAGCCACCTCACCCGGCCTTATTTGTTTATTTATTTTTTGAGACAGAGTCTCACTTCGTCACCTAAATTGGAACGCAGTGGTACAAACAAGGCTCACGGCAGCCTTGACGTCCCTGGCTCAAGTGATCCTCCCACTTCAGCTCCCACTTTGCTTGTTCAGGGCAAACACTCTGGACAAGCTGTCACACTTTTCAAAACCCCATCTCTCCCCCATGGCCGCATTTCCATTTCCCAAGGTAGCTACAGGTGCATGCCACCATGCTCAGCTATTTTTTTCTATTTTTTTGTAGAGTTTTTGCCATGTTTCCCGGGCTGGTCTCGAACTCCTGAGCTCGAGTGGTCCATCCACTTAGGCCTCCCAAAAAGCTGGGAATATAGTCGAGAGCCACCGTGCCTGGCTTTGTGCACTTTATATTTTTATAACTATGAACATAAACATTTGCTCTTGGCTCAATCCTATGAAATTGGAACTACCATCGTCCCATTTTACAGATGAGTAAACTGAGGATCAGAGAAAGAAGGGCCTCACAGCTGGTTAAGGGGCAGTGCTGGGGAGAGAAGCAGCAAGTTGGACATAAAAGCAGGTCCAGTGGGTGCTAGGGACACCCTACGAAACATGCCATAGCCCTTGCTTTTGTTTTTGGAAAAAGCTTTTCTCTGCGTAGCCACAGCCCCGACACTGAAGTTGGTGTTTTTTGCTACTTATCCAGACTCAGTTGGGATTCAAGTCAGGCAAGTGGCGATAAGCCACTGTCCACCATCATTTCATTCCTCTGTCATTCATTCTTTCATTCACTCATTTAACACACATTCACTGAGAACCTGAATTTGGGCTGGGCATTGTAACTCAAGCCTGTAATCTCAGCATTTTGGGAGTCTGAGGCAGGAGGATCACTTGAGCCCAGGAGTTCGAGACCAGCCTAGGCAACATGGTGAGACCCTGCCTCTACAAAAACTTTAAAAAATTAGTCAAGTGTGGTGGTGCACACCTTTAATCCTAGCTACTCAGGAGGCTGAGGTAGGAGGCTCCCTGGAGCTCGGGAGTTTCAGGTTGCAGTGAGCTATGATTGCCCCACTGCACTCTATGCTAGGTGACAAGGAGAGACCCTGTCTCTGGGAAAAAAAAAAAAAAAAAAAAAGAGAGAGAGAGAAAGAGAGAGAGAGAGAGAGAGAACCTGAATTTGGCCAGGCACAGTACTGAAATAATGAATGAGGGGCTGGGTCCCTTCCCAGGGGTATCGCCATTGGATGGGCCTGATCATCAGGGTGCTGGGGGATTGTCACCAGGCTATGTGTGACTCACTCTGTATGTCCCCCGTACCCCATGGGATTGGTGTCCTGGGAACCTTAGGCAGGGCGGGAGAGATGATTCATTCTGCCGTAAGCCTGGTGGGGATGGGAGGGGTCTGGAAACCACATCACCTGGTTCACTCACAGTGTGTGTGTTCCATAAACCCCAGCAGTCCCCAGCAGTCCTCCCCTGTCCATGCAGGTCTTGTCTTTGCTGGGCTGGCACTCAAGGCTCACCTTCTCAGTTTCCACTTCAGGGTCTTTTGGGAGTGATTTTCCCTCCGTGCCGCAGATCCTCAGGGACCTGCTCTAGTTGGCAAATAAGCTCTCGCTCCTCCTAAACACCCATCCTTCCTTCCCAGCCGCCCTCCTACATATTGTCATTATGGTGAAAAATATGCAAATAACTTTGAACAACAGTCTCCCAGCAGACGGGTGTTCAAAAATGTAACAAATTAACCCCATAATGTAATCTGGATCCTGTGACCATCCATCATGCTGATGCGATTAAGATATGAAAACCAGATGCTGAAGAGCCCGTGGACGGAGTCCAGGCAGAGCTCCTCCGGTGGTCCCATGCTGACTCGATCCCCTGCCCCTGCCCTGCCCTCATGGAACCTGAGGCCATGAGAGGTTTAGGGAACATCTGTCTGGCCTGTTCATTTCACTAATGAGACCAAAGCCTTTTGGGGGTTTGGGGTCAGAACTGAATCCCTCCGCATCTGCTTCTTAACCCACCTTCCGTCTGTTTGTGATTGGATGTGAACCCAAGGCCCCAAACACAGCCATTTTTTTTTTAATTGCAATTATTTTTGGTTACATGGATAAGTTCTTTAGTGGTGATTGCTGAGGTTTTGGTGCATCTATCATCTGAGCAGTGTACACTGTACCCAACATGTAGTCTTTTAATTTTTTTTGTGAGACAGCGTCTCGCTCTGTCGCCAGGCTGGAGTGCAGTGGCACAATCTCAGCTCACTGCAACCTCCGTCTACCGGGTTCAAGCGATTCTCCTGCTTAAGCCTCCCAAGTAGCTGGGATTACAGGCGTGCTCCACCATGCCCAGCTAATTTTTGTATTTTTAGTAGAGATGGGGTTTCACCATGTTGGCCAGGATGGTCTTGATCTCTTGACATTGTGATCCGCCCACCTCGGCCTCTCAAAGTGCTGGGATTACAGGTGTGAGCCACCAGGCCCAGCCCAATATGTAGTCTTTTATCCCTCACCTCCCCACCCTTCCCCTAGAGTCCCCAAAGTCCAGCATGACATTCCTATACCTTTGTATCCTCATACCTTAGTTCCCACTTATAAGTGAGAACATACAATATTTGCAGACCCAGGTATTGTTGTCCACTGGTTTCTAGTTGACAGGGTGGGTACCCAAGTGTCAAGAGCTGTTGGAACCTCAGTTTCCCCAAGGAAAAATGAGGGTTGGGTTTATGTCCTCCAAGGTGTTTCTGACGTTCTTACCTCTGTGTGTCAGGAGTTCTATGGGTGGCTTGTACTGTGTCTTCTCAGGACAGAGGGCTGGGGCTGGGAGCCCATGTAGGGAACACCTGACTTGAGCCCCCATGCCCCTCACACTGTGTCCTGAAGGCCATCCCACAGAAGTCATTCAGTTGTCAGTTTCCCCACCCCGGGCCCCAGTCCAAAGGGCTCCTTTGCAAGGAGTTGCCCCCTATGACCACCACTGCTGTCACCAATGCAAAAGCTGCTTAAACAGCCTCCAGAGAGGGAAAGGAAAGATCCTCGGTTTCCCCAGTTCTGCAATGACTCAATCTCAAGGAGCCATGGGACACTGTCTATAAGCCAGCGAGCACTTGGCCAGCTCTGTGTGGAAATAGCATGATGTGGGCAGGGTCCCCACGTCCTGAGAAGGGTTGCTGTGCCCAGCATGTGCTGCCAAGCGCATCAGATTCCTAAGACAAAATCATCCATCCCTGTGGGTTGAGCATCGCAGTTTTACAAAATGCAGATATTCTCTGGGAACAGTCCAAACCTGTGTGGCGATTCCCACACTTTGCTGGGCATCCGGGCCCCTGCGGAGCTTGTTAAAGGGCCAGCGCCCTGCTGTGCACCCTACCTCCATCGGGTTGCTCTGGGCAGTGGGGCAGCTGTGATTAATGGGCTCCTGGGGGATTCTGATGCAGATTTCCTAGGACTGCATTTGAAGAAATGTTTTGCTGACATTCCTAGCTTAATGGGTTACTTACAGGTTACTTTTTCTCTCCGCATTAGAAGTCTGGAAATGCAGGATTGAAAGCATCTGGTTGTGGGGGAAGGATCAGGTCTCCTATAATGAGCTGTAAATGATAAACAAGTCTGGCTAGATCTGTGTCCAAACAGACAACGGGACTACTAACAAGCTCTTAACGTCCCTGGAGGTCACAGGCATAGTCCTTTTGGCTTCTGGTCCTGACTTGTTGCCCACTCATTCCGTGGCTGCTTCGCGGATCTGAGTTTTCTCACTTGTAAAATAAGGGGGCTGAAGATCAGTGGAAGCCCTGGTGTCAGCAGAGGCATCAGAGCTGGGTTTGTGTTCCCACTGTATGATTTTGGCGAATTAGAGAATGACTGTGGGCCTGTTTAACCATCTGTAAAGTGGGACTATAAAATGGAGACTTAGCTGTAGGGTTAATTAGAGAATTAAAGAGATCAGTGTTTGACACTTAAGAAGTGCTTGATGTTAGTAAATATTTTTTATTATTTTAATAATATCATCATCTCTGAGGGCCCTTTCAGGACTTCCAGGCCGAGTCCATGCCCCTGGGGGACTTCGGAGCAGTAAAATGTAGTGGGAGGAGGCATCTCGGCCAGTGCCCACCCCATCAGCTGGGAGACTCGGGCAGGGTATTCACCCTCCCGTACCTCGCTTGACTCATCTGTATAAAGGGAACAGTCACAGCAACTGCCGCATGGAGTTACTCCGAGTACTTAGTGAGATAATCCACGGACACACTTAGTCCAGTGCCCAGCACTTGGCTGGAGCCCCACAAAGGTCAGCTATTGTGAAACGCAGGACGGGAAGGGTTCATCCTCTTGGGCGGTCAAGCCAGGCAGCATTTAAGTTCCCGGTGGGGGCGGGGCGGGGGCGGCCCCAGTGCACGTCCCCTTTTTAAAAATTTTTAAAATTTCACCCGGGTCTTGACAACCGGTGCACCCCTGTCTTCCCCTGTTCCCTCCCCCGAGCCAGAGGATTCGCTTTTGGTGGGCAGCTGCAGAAATGGTGACTCGGGCTAGCTCACTTGTGGCTGCCCTTAGTCCCCAGCTGCTCCCTCCCCCTGGCCCTCCCCAGCCATCCCTATCCGCCCTTTCCGGCGCCTGCTAGAGCGAGAGAAGTGCCCTCTGGGGGAAGATACGTAGCGATCCGATGCATCGTGGAGATCAACCTTATGTTTTCTTCGCGCCCACCAGAAGTCAAAGGGAGGTGGCGCCGTGAGTCTCAGCCCCGCCCCCGCAGGCGGAACCGCCCAGTGCCAGCCCTGGGTTGGTCCGCGCGGGAATGGGCGTGGCCTGGGCGTGGCGGGAAAGTGGGCGTGGCTGAAGTCGGGCTCTAGGACCCGCCGGAACTCCGCGAACGTCACCGAGCGGCGCCGAGGCCCCGGGTTGAGCTGGAGGCGCGATCCGTCCGGTCTGTGGCTTCCCGCGGCGGGGCCGGGTTCGATCCCGGGCGGGAACCGAGCCCAGAGCCGGTATCGGGGTAAAGGGAGAGGGGGCGGGATTCTCCCCGGGAGGGATCCTACCGGGCAGGGGGCGGAGTCTTATTCCAGCCCAGCTTTGCTTTCCGCGTGTCCCGCTTTGCGCTCCCGGCACTGCGCATCCAGCTGTTTCCCTCTGCGTCCGCGGCCCTGTCCTTTCCGCGGGCACCGCTGTGGTCTTTCCTACCCCTCGAGCGGCGGGGCGAGGGAGCGCGGGCGGTCAGTGGATTGAGGCTGATGCCCTCAAACACGGACGCCAGCGTGGGGGTGGGAGTCCTTCCCGGCTGTCCCGAGCCTGTGCGAAGCGGGAGGTCCTGCCCCAGTTCCCACAGACGGTGGGGAGGGAAGAGGCGGTGGAAGCGGGCGGGTTCTGGGTTCCTGAGTCTCTGGAACTACCCCCTGCCCTTGCCCCACCACCCAGGTTGCAGGAAGGATGACCACGCTCACACGACAGGACCTCAACTTTGGCCAAGGTAGGGAGACTGAACCTGCAGGCCCCGGGGGGGCGGGTGGCGTCTGGGCCTGCGGGCTTCGCGGAGCGCACCACCGGCTTGTGCCCCCTGCAGTGGTGGCCGATGTGCTCTGCGAGTTTCTGGAGGTGGCCGTGCATCTCATCCTCTACGTGCGCGAGGTCTACCCGGTGGGCATCTTCCAGAAACGCAAGAAGTACAACGTGCCGGTCCAGGTGAGGCGCGTCCCAGAACCACAGAGTGGGTACAGGGTGGACTTTTAAAAACTCTTCGGTCGGGCGCCGTGGCTCACTCCTGTAATCCCAGCACTTTGGGAGGCTGAGGCAGGCGATCACCTGAGGTCGGGAGTTCGAGACCGGCCTGACAAACATGGTGAAACCCCGCCTCTTCTAAAAATACAAAAATTAGCCGGCTGTGGTGGCTAATGCCTGTAATCCCAGCTACTTGGGAGGCTGAGGCAGGAGAATGGCTTGAACCGGGGAGGCAGAGGTTGCAGTGAGCTGAGATTGTGCCATTACACTCCAGCCTGGGCAAAAAGAGTGAAACTCCGTCTCAAAAAAACAAAAAACCTCTTCCACTTCTGGACACCTCATTCCCCAGGGCTCTGCCCTTGCCCTCCAGTTCCAAAGTAGGGTTGCCTACCCACCCCGCAGAAGGGAATTTCCCTTGCCAGAAGTTAGGGACCAGGCCTGATAAGAGTTACCCTGGAGGCATGGTTGCATTTTGAAAGATCTCCTGAAGCTGGCGAACCTTGGTGTGAGGAGGGAATTTCCAAAAACCTCCAACACCTTCTCCTTACCATTTGCCCTGAACTCTGCTAAAAGGCAGACAGAGCAGTGTGCATGGCACTGTAGCTCCAGTCCCTAGAAGTGCCTGTCACTCAAAGGCACTCAGGAAACATGAGAATAAGTAGTAGAAGCTTAAAGGACATCCAGATGGTCCCGGCTTCAAGTCCCCATACCACCATTGTTTGTTCACTTCCAGTATAGTTTTCAAGATGTTACATGAGATATTCAGCACTTTATTTTTTATTTTATGAGACAGAGTCTTGCTCTGTCACCCTTGCTGGAGTGCAATGCTGTGATCTTGGCTCACTGCAACCTCCACCTCCCAGGGCCACGTGATTCTCCTGCCTCAGTGTCCCGAGTAGCTGGGATTACAGGCGTGTGCCACCACACCCGGCTAATTTTTGTATTTTTAGTAGAAACGGGGTTTCTCCATGTTAGCCAGGCTGGTCTTGAACTCTTGACCTCAGGTGATCTCCAAACTTGACCTCCCAAAGTGCTGGAATTACAGGCGTGAGCACTTTATTATGAAGTAGGTTTTGTGTTAAATAATCCTGCCCAACTGTGGGCTAATGTAAGTGTTTTGAGTGTGTTTAGGTAGGCTTGGCTAAGCTGTGATGTTCAGTAGGTTACATGTATTAAATACATTTTCCACTGGTGATATTTGATGGGTTTATCCAAACATAATCCCATAGTAACTTGAGAGTCACCTTTACAGGGAAAAGGAAAAAGAATTGATACTTATTGAGCACTCACTGTCTACTAGGCACTTACCTCATTTAAATCCTCACTTTTTCTTTTTGAGATCTTCATAGATGAAGTGATTGAAGCTCAGAAAAGTTAAGAAATTTGCCTGAGCCCACACAGCTCCTTAGTTCTTAACTTTTGAAAGCTGATTACATTTTCTTGGATCATTTTTCCGGAAAAACGCCCAAGCGCACAAAGATATAACTTTAGGGTCTTTTCAGACTCTGGAGGAATCCATGGGCCCCACATAAGAACCCCTAATGATATATTAAATGCTCGTGTTTGGATTGAATTCTTATCTTTTTTTTTTTTTTGGATGGAATCTCGCTCTGTCACCCAGGCTGGAGTGCAGTGGCTTGATCTTGGCTTACTGCAATCTCCGCCTCCTGGGTTCAGGCAATTCTCCTGCCTCAGCCTCCTGAGTAGCTGGGATTACAGGCACGTGCCACCATGCCAAGCTAATTTTTGTATTTTAAGTAGAGACGGGGTTTCACCATGTTGACCCGGATGGTCTCGATCTCTTGACCTCGTGATCCACCCGCCTCGGCCTCCCAAAGTGCTGGGATTACAGGCGTGAGCCACCGCGCCCGGCTATTTTTGTGTTTTTAGTAGAGACGGGGTTTTGCCATTTTGGCCAGGCTGGTGTGAAACTCCTGACCTCAAGTGATCCACCCGCCTCAGCCTCTCAAACTGCTAGGATTACAGGAGTGAGCCACCGTGCCCAGCATGAGTCTTATTTTCTAACTTCTTTCTCCATGGATAAATTCACAGTTCTAAGTCTCATGAGGGAAAGTGGGGTTTCCTGGGTAGGGGCCCTAGAAAGCTGCTGGGCCTCTGACAGAAGGCGGACTTGCGCTCCTGGTCGTGTTGGGCGGTTTCCCCGTCTGTGTTTTGAGCCTCACTAACAGCGTGCTGTGTGCAGATGTCCTGCCATCCGGAGCTGAATCAGTATATCCAGGACACGCTGCACTGCGTCAAGCCACTCCTGGAGAAGGTGAGGGGGCACTGGGCCTCCCAGCCACCTCACCCCATGTCCCTCTATGCTCACAGGTCCAACTCTGGGATGGGGCGATGCTAGGATTCTGCGGGGCCCTCTTGGCTCTAATACCCAGAAGCCTGCACCCTGCACTCTGGAGACCATCCCAACCCAGGGACAGGCCCCAAGGCATGTGGACCACGTTCAGGGTGCCTTGGGCCTAGGAGCCTGGGTTGGTGGAGCTGGCTCTGAGTAGGGGCTACCCCAAGAGGGTTCTGGGTTCTCATACCCATCCCTTGTTCTCTACCCTAAATGTTCTGTCTGGGCTGAACCCTTCAGGGTTTCTTCCCCATCTAGTCCTGATCTCAGACTTCCTGGGACCTTCCCTGTGGGCCCCAGGCATCCTCTCAGCCTGCGCCACTCACATCAGAGGGTGCCAACTTCTCAAACCCACTGTCTGGGCTCTTGGGGCTCCCTGGCCTAGCAGCCAAGCAGGGCTGTGACCAGGCCGTTTCCCATCCTTCCTTGGGCAGGGGGGTGGAGGTGGGGTGGTGGAGAGGGGGTGGGGTGCCTGGCTCTGCAGTGGGGGATTCCTTTCCTTGCAGAATGATGTGGAGAAAGTGGTGGTGGTGATTTTGGATAAAGAGCACCGCCCAGTGGAGAAATTCGTCTTTGAGATCACCCAGCCTCCACTGCTGTCCATCAGGTGGGCTGTCCCTGCCCCTCACCTGCTAGCTGGCATCAGGTCTGCCTCTGGCGACACACCCACCCCTTTAAGGCGGCCCTTGAATACCTTGGTAAAGGGACGGGAGGAGAAAGGGCAAGACACGCCAGCCTAACAAGGGGACAGCCTGTGAGCAGCTGAAATGGGTCCAGAGAGATGACATGAGCTACCCAGGGTCACCTGAGTGGGAGCAGAGCTCAGGACACAGAACCAGTTTCCTGACTTCCCAGGCAAGTGCCCAGTCAACTGGAAGTTGACCTCTGGCACACGTGTTAGTTGGTCAACTGCATGCTTTTGATGGTGACGTCAGGGCGCTGGAATCTGGCACCAACGTGTTCCCACGGGCTGTGTGGCCTCAGGGAAGCCCTTTCCCCTCTTGGCTTGTTGTCCTGGTTCTCTGGCCTGGCTGCACATGAAAACCACATAGGGAGGCCTCCTCGGACTTCCCCCTCACTCCCTGCCCCAGTGGGATTGGGCATTGCTTTTATCCCTTGCTGGTTTGAATTATGTGGATCAGATAGGGAGCTGGGCCCTAGGCAACCAACACTCTCAGAGGCACTGGAGGAGAGGCTCCATACCCAGGTCTGCATCCAAGGTCAATTGCCCATGGTGGAGGGGAGGGCGCCAGTGTGACGGGAAGACCTCCTCTCATTCCCAGCTCAGACTCCCTGTTGTCTCACGTGGAGCAGCTGCTCCGAGCCTTCATCCTGAAGATCAGCGTGTGCGATGCCGTCCTGGACCACAACCCCCCAGGTGTGTCCTCTCCCCACCCTCTCTTCCCTTGGCATTTCCACAGTTATCTTGGGTTGGTCTGTGTTCCCAGGTCCATGTTTGCTGCTCTGAGCCTCATCTCTTCCTCACCCCTGAGAGTCCACCTCCTTCGGGAAGCTTCCCTGATTGACTCCACCTGGCTTTCATCTCCCTATTGACTGGGCCTTTTCTTAGCACTTGTTCTGCTCTGGGGGGCTGCTGAGCCAGCAAGGGAAGTGGGAAGAGGCTGGGCCCAGTGGCAGGCACCAGGGCGGCAGGGGAGCCTCCACCAACCTCTTGCCTCTCCAGGCTGTACCTTCACAGTCCTGGTGCACACGAGAGAAGCCGCCACTCGCAACATGGAGAAGATCCAGGTCATCAAGGTGAGGGGAGGCGGGTCGACCTGGGCGCAGGCTCTGGAAACTTGATGCCGCAGTTCCACACAGGCAGGGGTGTTGCCTGTGGCCAGTTTCTCATTACGTTGGGGCAGCAGTGCCTGCACCCAGCAGGTCCTCAGGCCTGGCCACTGCTCCATCTGGGCACTTGGGGTAGTGAGGAGCCTAGGCATAGCGACCGGCTGGGGTCCCCAGTTCATCCTGGCTCTTCTGAAGTGGGGGCTGTCTGGGAAGGGGGTCCTAGGGGCTTGGGGCTTGTTCATCACTTGGTTTCTATGGACTCGGCCTCTGTGGGGGGTGGGGGGTCCTGGGGTCTGCATTACCAACAGCTCCCTAGTGATTCCGAGGCTCAGGTTGGAGGCCCCTGGTCTGCAGTGGGAGGGGCAACAAAGTGACAGCAGGCCAGGGCCCTGCCCCCTGTCACCCCCCCTGACCTTTGTCCCCTCCCTAGGATTTCCCCTGGATCCTGGCGGATGAGCAGGATGTCCACATGCATGACCCCCGGCTGATTCCACTGAAAACCATGACGTCGGACATTTTAAAGGTTAGGTTCGTGGGGACCTGGGAAACTTTATTTAGGGGATACTTAGGAAGTGAGTTGGACATTTTAAAGGTGGGCCCCATGGGGACCTGGGAGCTGTATTTAGGGGATGCTTAGGAAGTGAGGCCTGGTGCTGAGGCCTTGCTAGAGGGCTTGGAGGGAAGGAGGAGGGAATGCCTGGTAGAAAGCTTCTCCCATCTCTACTCTTCTTCACCTTGGCCATGGCCATGAGGCCCCACCCTTGGCAGAGATCTGCCCACCAGGGTCTTCTGGGTCCTCCAGCAGAGATGCCCTGGCTGTCTCAGTGACCATGACTGTTTGCTTGTGTCCATCAGATGCAGCTTTACGTGGAAGAGCGCGCTCATAAAGGCAGCTGAGGGGGCACCTGCCACCCCACTGATGCCTGAACTGTCAGACTTTGGGGGATCCCCACCTAGGGCAGTGCTGCACGGCTGCTCTGATTCCAAGTGCTCTTATCGCCTCTGTGTGTGGATCGCCTGCTCCAGCCCGGAGCCGCTCAGGTCTACTTGGAGGATGCCTTCCCCAGGAGGACAGTGAGGATGCCGTGACCTCGACTTCTCAGCCTCCTGGGGTTCCGCCGGCCAACACTGTCTGTCTCAAATACTGTGCTGTGAGTTGTTTCAATAAAGGGGCCCCAAGGGCTGGCCTGAGCTGAGCTGTCACTAACCGGAGTGGGAAGGACAGGTATGGCCAGGGTAACCTGGGGCAGGGGCTGCTTCTCCACCAAAATGCCAGGGACCCCCCTCCCCACTCCGAAAACCAATCCCAGGCTGGTTTTACTGAAAACATTCATTACAACAAAACGTCAGAGCTATGTGACAGTACATTAAGTTTCCACAAGCTGGTAGGGTTGAACCGGGGGCAGAAGCCCCTGGTACAGGGACTTCACTGCCCACCCCAACCTCTGGCTGACCCGGACACAGGATGGATGGCTGTCAGATTGGGAGAACAACTTTGTAGGGCGATTGGGCAGCCTCCTCCTGCCTGTGCTTCTGCCCAGGCTGAGCCTCGGAGGAGGCCGCGTTCCTGGTCATCTTGTGGCTGATGACGATGCTGCTGTTGGTGACTCGGGGCCCGTACCAGCCTGCCCAGTACTGGGTGTCCTGGCCCCCGTGCCGGAAGAGGATGTAGCGGACGCCTGGAGGGTAGTCCGAGAAGGTGTGGGAGACCTGCAGGGAGGAGGGGAGGAAGTGACCACCGGGGTGGGGGAAGGGATGGCAGGAGCCAGGTTCTCTAAGGGAGCTGCCCAGGCTGGAAGGCAACAGCTCCAGGCCAGAGAGCAGGGGCTCCCTGGGCCCTGAGGCTGCCCCTTGCTTCCTGGCATCCTGGCCCTGGGAGGAGTGGGTGGAGAGCAAGGGGGTGAGGCCTCACCTCTCTCCATGCGGCATCGTTCCACTGTTCAATGGTCACAGGTTCGGGCTCGAAGGAAGCCAACACGAAGTAGTCAGCCGAGGCCAGGTACACCTTGAGTTGGTAGGTGCAGCCACAGTCGGCTCTGGCGGCAAACCTGGTGGGGGGGTGAGAGCCCTGCATCCGAGCCATCGAGGGCTGCCCCAGGAGTAGGGGCAGGTGGGACCTACACATTGGAGCTTGGAGCTTTATTTCCCATCGGCCAACACTGCTCTGCTTGCAAGGCACAACTGGCTTCAGCGCTCCCTATGCCCCGCTGTGGCCCTCGGGGAGCAGCCTGTCCATGCTGGCCTCAGTTACCCCATCTGAGATAAGGGACTCTTTTGGGCATCCTACTAAAGATGTGACCTCAAAAAGCAAAAGACCCTCCAAGAGGCCAGCTCTGTCCAAGTCATGTCACCTGCATTTACAGTGGACCGTGGACTCTGGGAGAGTCAAGGGGATGGCCTGTGTGATGGGACTGGCACAGAGCTCACCCTCTGCTCAGCCCAGCCACCCCTCCAGCCTCACCCCGTTATCCTCAGCGTGGTGGCCCTGAGGCCTGCCTAGAACTGGGGTCCTGCTTCTGCCACTGGCCAGGCCAGAACCTTGCACAGTTCTGTGCACAGAGTAGGAGCTCAAAAAGGGATGAATAGGGAAAGGGGAGGGGAGGCAGGTAGGCCAGGGGGTCTGGGGGTTTCCACCCGGTCCAGAGAGGGCTGGCCAAGGTAGGCAGATCACTTGAGGTCAGGAATTTGAAACCAGCCTGGCCAACATGGTGAAACCCTGTCTCTACTAGACATATTTTTAAAAATAGCTGGGCATGGTGGCGGGTGCCTGTAATCCCAGGTACTTGGGAGGCTGAGGCAGGAGAATCGCTTGAATCTGGGAAATGGAGGTTGCAATGAGCTGAGATCATACCACTGCACTCCAGCCTGGGTGACAGAGTAATTCCATCTCAAAAAAAAAAAAAAAAGTGCCTGTCAGTAACAACGCACCTGGGGGCCACAGTCTCCGCATCTGCACACTGGGGCTACTGTGTCCTGCTGGGCATGTCACAGGGTGGTGGGGAGGCCAGGAGGTGCTGCTGGGTGAACACATGCTGGGTCTGGGTGCAGAGTGGGGACAGGCCGGGGCTACCTGGCTCTAGGACACTGCTGGGCACAGTGGGCACTTGCTACAGGTTGTCTCACCCAGCCTGGCAGTAAGAGGAGGCTGTAGAGTGTGGGAACACAGGCCCTGGGTGCTACTCACCAGTCCCTAACCATGATGTCTGGCCTGACTGTGTCCAGTAGCTCCTTCCAGTAGCCGTTGGCTACAAGGTCCACCAGCTGGGACTTGAGGCACATCCTGGGGAGCAGAGTGGGGGGCTTTTGTGCCTGGGTGTGCTCTGCATGGCCCTCCCTCACCCAATCCTCGGCAGCCCTGTGAATGCAGGGAGGTGGTCTGGGGACCTTGGGTATCCCTTGGCTGCTGCAGGACAGGCACTGGCTGGGGCTGACTCTGGCTCCTACCCCAGTGCAGGCCCATGAGAAACCTAAGGAGGGAGTTTGACCCACTTGTGCCTGGGCGGCATCTGATCCCAGTCCAATAGCCCAATGTTCCAGGGCACTCTTGTAAACTCAAGTTCCTGGCTTAGGGACGGACAGCTGTAGACAGCCCTGGCTTATCTTAACCACCCCATGGACTCCTGGCTTGCTTCAGTGATCCCCACCCCCACTGCCCATGAACAAAGTCACTGAGTTACTCCAGGAAGCAGTGACTCTGGGCCACCTCCCTTGAGCTTCACAGAGGGCTTCCCTTCGAAAGACTTTGCCTGAGACTTGGCAAAGGTGTCCTGACTGTCCCCTCCACGCAAGCCTGGTAGGTTCAGTTTGCCTTACTCATAGGATGTGACAAAATACTTCTTGACTTTGGGGTCAGGAAAATCTGTCCCGTGGGCTCCAGGGAGGCTCTCCACCTTCCAGTAGTTGCCACCTTCGGTATCGATTTGCCAAGCTAACATACCCTCTAGGAGGAACAGAAGTGGAGGTGAGACCCCTTACCTCCCCATCTGGTACTGGGAGGGTGGGAAGGAGGGTGGTTGGCATTAGTGACCTTCTTGGGAGGCAAGACTTCCTCATGCTCAAGTCTCTGGGGCTGTGGACACCAAAGGGTTAACCAGCATGTTCCTTCTCAAGGGCATTGTGTAGCCAAGGTCAGTGCCCCACCAGCCCAAGTGTACCCCAACTGCACCTTGCAGCACCCCTACAAAGCACCCCTCTAACACATTCCCACCTGTCCTCACCATATCAGCTCTGATCTGACACAACTGGGCAGCCTCCAAGTCCCTTGGAAGGGATACTCTGTCCCACTCAGTCCCAAACTAGCCTCACTCCTAACACAAAGCTCGAGAAAAGAATGTGTTACTTGGCTGGGTGTAGTAGCTCACGCCTGGAGTCCCAGCACTTTGGGAAGGCGAGGTGGGCGGATCATGAGGTCAAGAGATCGAGACCATTCTGACCAACATGATGAAACCTCGTCTCTACTAAAAGGAAAAAAAAAAAATTCAAAAATTAGCTGGGTGTGGTGGCACGTACCTGTAGTCCCAGCTACTCGGGAGGTTGAGGCAAGAGAATTGTTTGAATCTGGGAGGTGGAGGTTGCAGTGAGCTGAGATCGCGCCACTGCATTCCAACCTGGCGACAGAGCGAGACTCCGTCTCAAAAAAAAAAAAAAAAAAAAGAATGCAAACTCTTCCTCACATCCGCATTGCAGTGGAACTCTGGAAAGTACCCAAGTATCAGTTCTCAAAAAATTAAGTTACAAGGGGCCTGTGAAAGTACTGTCTCAAAGACTAATGTGAGGTCGGGCACAGGGGCTCACGCCTGTAATCCCAGCACTTTGGGAGGCCAAGGCAGGTGGATCACTTGAACCCAGGAGTTCAAGACCAGCCTGGGGAACATAGCAAGGTCCTGTCTTTTTTTATAAGTAAAAGATTTTAAAAAGGCTAACATGCATTCATCCCAACACAGGCTGCTTACTTGACCCCGATGGCACCCCCAGATGGGTGAGGCCCTTGATTAACTACATAACTGAGACTGGAGGCCCTAGAGGATGGGTTTGTGGGTTTGTCGTCGGGTCATGGGAACCTGAGATTTCCACAGGGCTTGAACGGCCTCTGCCCAGGGCAAGAGTGCTAAGTGGAGGAGCAGGTGCCCTCTGCGCTGGTGCTGTGGTAACATTCATGGGTGAACCTCCATTAGGTGGGCTCCATAGGTTCAGGGGAGCAGTCACCTTCTTCACAGTGGACTTAGAGAACCTTAGAAAACAATGGTGCTTCTCTACCGGGGCTGCCCAGGCAATCACCCGGGCACTTTTCAAATGGTTCGCTTGCTCCCGCTCCAGGAGCCCGCTATTCTCCAGGTGCTCTCAAGTCCCCAGTAGAGAGCCAGGAGAGTAATACAGAAATCCAGGAGCTAGGCTGGTGTGAACCGGCAGGGCTTGACTGAGCACTTCGGCTCCGGGCAGGGCAGGCTGCAAGGCTAGCTCTGTCAGGTGGGGTTACGCAGAGTGAGCAGCTTAGCCTGGCAGCTTTGAGTGGAATCTGGAGCAGGCAGAGGGACTGAGTGGGGTACTGCCTATGGGGCTCTGGGATTTGGGGCAGGGACAGTTTGAGGCCTTTATCTGTCAGGACCAAACCGTGGAAGGTGGGCAGTTGTACCTCTTTGGGGAAGTCACTCATGTTGGAACCAAAGCTCCTCATTTATACAGTGGAGTCCACCCTGATTGTCTTGGCATCTCCCAGGATCCTTTTTTTTTTTTAAAGATAGAGTCTCGCTCCGTCACCTAGGCTGGAGTGCAGTGGTGTGATCTCAGCTCACTGCAACCTCCACCTCCCAGGTTCAAGCGGTGCTCCTGCCTCAGCCTCCCAAGTAGTTGGGAGGCACCTACCACCATGCCCGGCTAATTTTTGTATTCTTAGTAAAGATGGGTTTTACCATGTTGGCCAAGCTGGTCTCAAACTCCTGACCTCAAGTGATCTGCCCACCTTGGCCTTCCAAAGTGCTGGGATTACAGGTGTCAGCCACTGTACCTTGCCTATATGTTTTATTTTTTAATTATTTTTTTAGAGACAGGGTCTTGCTCTGTTGCCCAGGCTGGGGTGCAGTGGCACAACCTTGGCTCACTGCAACCTCCACCTCCCAGGTTCAAGTGATTCTCTTGCCTCAGCCTCCCAAGGAGCTGAGATTGCAGGTGCCTGCCATCATGCCTGGCTAATTTTTTCGTATTTTTGTAGAGGTAGGGTTTCACCATGTTGGCCTGGCTGGTCTCAAATGCCTGACCTCAAGTACTCCACCCACCTCAGCCTCCCAACGTGCTAGGATTACAGGCGTGAGCCACCGCAACTGCTGAAAAATGTTACAGGGCATGAAATGGGGGTGCTATGCTAGAGGTGGGAGTGCTGTTTTTAGATTGGGGGGACAGGGCAGGTCTCTGAATTGAGACCTGAAAATGAGAAGGAACCAAGGGAAGGAGGTGGGTGTTTAGGGTTAGAGAACATTCCAGGTAGTGTGGGAATTGCAAGTGCCAAGGCCCGACGATGGGAAGGAGCCTCCACCCCGCCCCCATGGCACCTTCGGCGCACGGGTTGCGCAGGAGGTTCCTCTGCAGGCTCCTTAGGAAGTAGCAGATCTTCCAGTCCTCCACGGGCTGGTCCCAGTCCTTGGTGATGAAGCCGTCTCGCAGACACTTGCGCTTCCAGAGGATCATGAGGTCAATGAGGTCCCGCCAGAGGCTGCAGACAGGGCGGCAGTTCAGCAGCAGCTGGCGGGCGGGCACGTGCAGGAACAGCTCCAGCAGGATGTTCTCCGGCAGCTCATTAATGCTGGCCAGGGCTGTGGTGGGCTCGGAAGCATCCATGGCCTATGGGGGAGCAGTAGCGGTTACGAGCCTGATCAGGGAGGTGGGCCCTCAGGCACCCAGGGAACCAGGCCAGGGTATCCTCTCTAACCCTGCATTAGACAGGTATGGTGGCGCACTCCTGGAGTCCCAGCTACTTGGGAGGCTGAGGTAGAGGATCTCTTGAGCCTGGGAGTTCAAGGCTGCAGTGAGCTATGATCATGCCATTGCACTCCTGCCTGGGCAACTGACCAAGACCCTGGCTCAAAAACACAAAACCAAAACCCCACAAAAGAGTATTTCTGAGGCTGAGGGTCCTTCCAGTGAACAGCAGGCCCTCAATGGAAAGAGTAGTCATGGGACACACATTCAGAAGAGTGCAAGAAAAATACTAAAGTCTTTAGAGACACATTTTTTAAAAGGCCCTTCCCCAGTTAAAAAAGATAGCTTAATTTGAAAGCCAGTGGGCTGGGCGGACTAAGATTTTGTGGAGGCCACACTTGTCTGCAAGTTCTGTGAGGGTTTGGTGATTGTTGTTATTTTAATGCTCTGGATTCACTGTTAGAATATTAAATCTTTTTTTTTTTGAGATGGAGTCTCGCTCTGTTACCCAGGCTGGAGTACAGTGGCTCGATCTTGTCTCACTGCAACCTTGGCCTCCCAGGTTCAAGCGATTCTCCTGCCTCAGCCTCCTCGGTAGCTGGACTACACATGTGTACCACCATGCCTGGCTCATTTTTTGCATTTTTAGAAGAGACGAGTTTCACCGTGTTAGCCAGGATGGTCTTGATCTCCTGACCTCGTGATCTGCCTACCTTGGCCTCCCAAAGTGCTGGGATTACAGGAGTGAGCCACCGCACCCGGCCAGAATATAAAACCATTTTTATATCCCAGACTCATTAATGTTCATTCAGTGGTAGGCTAGTGCTGAGAAACCACCGCCCTCTCCCCAGAAGCTCACTTTTGCCTGCAAGTCGGATGTGATAAAACAACCCAATGGGAAGCCCCCACAGCACCCAACTGGGCTGCTTTGGGTGTCAGGACAGAGTCCACTTGGAGATTGCTGGAAAACAAACGGATGAAGGGTGCCTGAGAAGACTACCTAGGTTCGAATCCTGGCCTGCACTGACTAGCTGGGAAGCTGTGAAAAGGAGCGGGTAACTGTCCAGACCCGGAAGGGCCAGGAGGACCACGTGGAGCACAGAGCTTCGGTCAGCATTGCTGCCAGCACAAACCTGCCCGCAACACTGTCCTCCCTCTGCCTCTGTACTGTACAAGGGTTCTGGAAAACTTCAGGTAGTGCCACGGCCCTGGCCTGAATCTTACCTGGGAGCACCTGGTTAGTCCCCTAACGGGATCCCAGGCATTTACCCCAGGTAGGTGGGGGCGGGCCAGCAGCCAGGGCGCTGCACTGTCACCCAGGTGGGCCTCCTTTGCTTATGCATGAGGAGAGAATGTTTTCCACCTACAAGCAGAAAAACAGAAACTTGCTGGCCTCTTTTTTTTTTGAGACAGAGTTTTGCTTTTGTCACTAGGCTGGAGTGTAATGGTGCGATCTCAGCTCAGTGCAGCCTCCGCCTCCTGGGTTCAAGTGATTCTCCTGCCTCAGCCTCCCAAGTAGGTGCAATTACATGCACCTGCCACCATGCCCAGCTAATTTTTGTATTTTTAGTAGAGACAGGTTTCACCATGTTGGCCAGGCTGGTCTTGAACTCCTGACCTCAGCTGATCCACCCACCTTGGCCTTCCAAAGTGTAGGGATTACAGGCGTGAGCCACCATACCCAGCCTTTTACTGACCTCTTCTGATTTTCCATAGAGGCTTGGCTAAAGCCACAGTTCATAGTCTTCTTAGAGCTCCCATCCCAGAAAACAGGAGGGTGGGTGCATGCTGGCTCCTGGTCACGGAGGAACACTTTAGCATGGCAGAGAAAACAGGTGAGGTACTTGTGTCTCGTGAAAAATGCTTTGCAACCTTGGCAGTTCAGGGAGTTCCTGTCTCTATAAATAGTGAAAAAATTAGCCGGGCATAGTGGTGAGCACCTGTGGTCCCAGCTACTTGGGAGGCTATGGTGTGAGGATCTCCTGAGCCCAGGAGGTCAAGGCTGCAGTGGCCCACAGGTGTGAGCCACCAGACCTGGCTCCTCAGAGGTTTTTTACCTTAGAGTCCATGAGGTCTGCTGAGGTCACACGCTAGGGAAGGAAGGAGCCCGCTAGCCTGTGAGCCATGACTGGGCCATGGCACTCCTGGGCAACAGAGCAAGACCGCCTCAAAAAAAGAAAAAAAAGAAAAAAAATGTTTTGATGGAAAAAAACCCCATGTGGTCAAGTCTTCTAAGTGTTGAGAAGTAACTGTAAGCTTTTAAAACTGGAAAAAAAGAAATTAGGCCAGGTGCTGCAATGGCTCATGCCTGTAATCCCAGCACCTTGGGAGACTGAGGCAGATGGATCACAAGGTCATGAGTTCGAGACCAGCCTGGCCAATATGGCGAAACCCAGTCTCTACTAAAAATACAAAAATTAGCCAGACATGGTGGTGGGCGCCTGTATTTCCAGCCACTCAGGAGGCTGAGGCAGGAGAAACGCTTAAACCCCAGAAGCAGAGGTTGGAGTGAGCTGAGATCGTGCCACTGCACTCCAGCCTTGGTGACAGAGCAAGACTCTGTCTCAAAAAAAAAAAAAGGAAAAAGAAAAAAAAATCAGCTAGGCCTCGTGGCCTGAGCCTGTGGTCTCAGCTACTCAGGAGGCTGAGGTAGGAGGATTGCTTGAGACCAGGAAGTCAAGGCTGCAGTGAACCCTCATCAGGCCACTGCACTCCAGCCTGGGTGACAGGGCAAGACTCTGCCTAAAAAATATAAAGAAAATAGGTAAATGCTGGCAACTTCTAAAGGCACTGTCTAGACTGTAGATCAAATAAAAGCCACTGGGCTCCAAGCCGGAGGTGTCAAGGCACCAATGGCTTTCCACCGTGGTGACCGAAGTCTGGTCTCTGGCTCAATCGGCATTTTCTTGCGCCCCCGCCCGGGGCATTTTGTGGTGGGGAAGTCCATGCCAACCCTAGGAAGTCCCCTCACACCGACTGGGGTCCCCAAGTGCCTGGCCTGGAGTCCCGTGCTCGCCTTCTCCGCGCCCACCCTCCCAGCAAGCCCTCGGGGCGCTCTTACTTCACCGGTTTCTCAGAAACAGAAACTGCGGCCGAGGGAAGGCAGGCGGCGGATTTCGCAGGCGCGTGGGAGCCTGGAGGTCCCCCTGACCTTTCTCGGAACACGGCGCCGGCCTCGGGATGTGACTGGGAAGGCCGCAGCTGCAGAGCTTCCGGCTGGGTGGCCCCGGAGCCAGGCCCCCAGTCCGGGCTCACGCGCCCCGCCCCCCCCCAGCCGCGCGGACCAGCACCCACGTGCTGCGTGAACGCCCCGGTGCCGGCGACCCCAGCCCCCGACTCGGGCACAGCGGCGGAGCTCCGGGTCGGCCCGAGCGTAAGGCCTCGGTCTCGGTGTAGTTGCGTCAAGTGCTGCGCTGGGTCCCCACCCGAGTCCCGGACCCCGCCCGGCCAGGCCCCGCCCCGCACCCTCGCCGCGGGAAGACGAACCTGGGGTCCCCGGGGTTTGGGCCCTGGCGGCGGCCGGCCTGCGTGTCCTGAAGCTCAGCCTCCCGCTCCAGGCGGCGGGCGGCTCAGCAACGGCACCCGCTTCCTCCTCAGGGCAAGTCCCCGGACCGTACGGCCGCTCCCCTGACCCTCCCTGGAGGCGGGAGCTGAGCACTGGGCTCCAGAGGGCTCCTTCCTTCTCTAGGGCGTCACCTCCGTAGGCGTCACAGGTAAAAACAAACAAACAAACAAACAAACAAAAACCCTGAGGGACCGGGCGTGGTGACTCTCGGGTGGATCGCTTGAGGTCAGGAGTTCGAGACCATCCTGGCCAACATGGTGAAACAATACAAAAAAATTAAGGCCGGGCGCGGTGGCTCAAGCCTGTAATCCCAGCACTTTGGGAGGCCGAGGCGGGTGGATCACGAGGTCAAGAGACCGAGACCATCCTGGTCAACATGGTGAAACCCCGTCTCTACTAAAAATACAAAACATTAGCTGGGCATGGTGGTGCGTGCCTGTAATCTCAGCTACTCAGGAGGCTGAGGCAGGAGAATTGCCTGAACCCAGGAGGCGCAGGTTGCGGTGAGCCGAGATCGCGCCATTGCACTCCAGCCTGGGTAACAAGAGTGAAACTCCGTCTCAAAAAAAAAAAAAAAAAAATTAGCTGGGCGTCGTGGCTCACGCCTGTAGTCCCAACTACTCGGGAGGCTGAGGCAGCAGAATTGCTTGAACCCGGGAGGCGGAGGTTGCAGTGAGCCGAGGTTGCGCCACTGCACTGCAGCCTGGCGCCTGGGGACAGAGTAAGACTCTGTTTCAAAAAAAAAAAATTAGCAGGGCCGGGTGGCACATGTCTATAATCCCAGCCACTCCGGAGGCTGAGGTGGGAGAATCGCTTGAACCTGGGAGGCTGCAGTGAGCCGAGACTGCACTACTGCACTCCTTGTTGCTTGGGCGACAAAGCGAGACCTTGTCTCAAAAAGGATTAAGTTCATGAATTTCTTCCAACAGTCAACAAATATTTAGCAAGCACCTTGTTCAGGCAACCACCACAGGTTGTGCAGGCTGTGCACTGCACAAGGGGACTGGCCCAGGCTGAATTAATTGCAGTCAGGGCTGCATCTTCTCCGTGGAAGGCTGTCCTTTTGCAGTTTGCCATGGGCTGGTGGGTGGTGACCCCACCCTGGCCCTTATCTAGCTCACCCTTGATTGAGATGACTAAATGTAAGGAGTACTTATTGAGACCAGTATTAGTCCATGTTCACACTAACATATGGAAATACCTGAGACTGGGTAATTTATAAAGGAAAGAGGTTTAATTGACACAGTTCCACATGGCTGGGGAAGCCTCAAGAAACTTACAATCATGGTGGAAGGTGAAGGGGAGGCAATGACCTTCTTCGCATGGCGGCAGGAAGGAGCCGGGGAAACCGGCACGTGTAAAGCCATCAGATTTCGTGAGAACTCAGTCACTATCATGAGAACATCATGGGGAAAACCCACCCCCATAATCCAATCACTTCCCACCAGGTATCTCCCTAAACACCTGAAATTACCATTCAAGGTAAAATTTGGGTGGGAACATAAAGCTTAACCATATCAAGCACCTACTGTGTGTCAGGCACCATTCTAAATGCTTCAGCTTCATCCAACATAAAGTAAAGCTCTTGGGAGAGTCACACCAGGAGGCAGTGTCTGGGTGGCACTGCTGGTCTGGCACGAGGTGGACTCAAAGGCTGCCCGGAGATGTCCACCCAATCCCAACCCCAGCCTGTGGCTGGGCCTCCAGAGGAAGCCAGCAGGACTGGATGGCTACCAGGTGAGACACTTGCAGCGCACTGAGGGGTCTGTCCCATGAACCTGCTTCTGTTATGGCCTGGTTCCTGAAATGTCAACCCCTTTGTCCCTTAGACAGAAGCCACACCATTGTACCATCTGCAGGTCCAGGCAGGACCACCTAAAGTCTGCCTTTCCTTCCAGAAACCACAGGGCACAGGTTAGGCTGGGCACACCTTTTATTTGGCTGCATGCAGTAGGGTGAGGTCAGGAGAACACTGCTGTCCTTCCAACAGGACAAGAGGTGAGTTCCAAGGGTGGCTGAGTGGGATAGAGAGGTCCTGGGAATGGCAGCTCTAGGGGTGGGGTGGAGGCTTGGAATACTCTTCAAGCCAGAGGGGGCCTTGCCTGGATCTGGGAGGTGGACAGGCGATCCTTCGAAACCCCTACCGCGCTCATCCAGGGCTCACGTGTCCGGCTGTCAGCATCAGGTCCTGTCCTGCTCCCCACCTGCCCTGGGACATCCTGTGCAGGATTACCTCAGTCCTCTGGGAACTTGACCCCCACCTGGTACCCATCTAGCTTCTGGGGCTTCACTGATAGTGAGGACAGTCCACACCCATCCTGGACTCCACCCCACCCTGGGTCTGCCCATCTCAGACCAGGACTGAGCCTCTGAGCCGAAGCCACCTCTTCTGAGTACGCAGGCAGAGCCAGAGACTGCAAGCAGCAGACGGGGCAGAGCACGGCCCATGAGCCCGCCCTCCACTTCCCAGATCAGTCTGAGTTACACAGTCACCTCCCTGCACCTGCACCATGAGGGCAGCTGCAAGCTTGCCAGATGTGTTGCCTGACCCTGCTCTGAGGGTCTTCAAGGAACACAGGGAGAATGGTCCCAGGAGGGGGAGGGAGAGCGATCCAGGCTGGCCTCCAAGCTGAACTCTCTGAGGGGCCCAGGGGAACACACTGCACCTCCCACATCTCAGGTGCCCTGTCTCTGAAAGGGGCCCATGCAGGCTTCCCTGGCCATCATTCATCAAGAGGGCTACCCACACTGAGAGGCTCCACAAACAAGAGGCTGCTGGGGGCAAGAGTGAAGTCAGAGGTCTGGGGATGCCTGGTCTCCACCTCCCCTTCCCAAGCCCAGCCCTTTTCTGACAGCAGTAGTTTACCAGTCAGGGTTCAGCAGATGGGGGCTCAGGGGGTGTCAGGGCAGCGGGGGCCCGATGGTGATGCTGCTGTTGGTGACCCTCGGGCCGTACCAGCCGGCCCAGTAGTGAGTGTCCACGCCGCCGTGCTGAAACCAGATGTAGCGGACGCCGGGCGGGTAGTTGGAGAACGTGTGGGAGACCTGGTGGGACAGGCAGAGCGGGGAGAGAGGTCAAGGGAGCTGACTTGGGCTGGGTGTGGTGGCTCACACCTGGAATCCCAGTACTTTGGAAGGCGGAGGTGGAAGGATTGTTTGAGTCCAGGAGTTTGTGACCAGTCTGGTTGCAAACCAGAGATAGTGAGATACCATCTCTACAAGAAAAAAAAAAAAAATTAGCCAGGCATGGTGGCATGTGCCTGTGGTCCCAGGCAGGCTGAGGTAGCAGTACAGGTTGAGGCAGGAGGTCAAGGCTGCAGTGAGCTGTGATCACGCTACTGCACTCCAGCCTGGGCAACAGAGTGAGACCCTGTTTCTGAAATACAAAAGAAATTAAAGAAAACGAGCCTTAAAAAAAAAAAAGGCGTTGCGTTGGGGGGAGCTGACCCTGAGTGTGGCACTGCCTGAGGGGGACAGGGGAACAAGAAGGGGCTGAGTTCTTGGTGCTGGACCAGAATTCAGCAGAATGGAGTTCTAGCTCTAGCTCTGTGATTTTGAACAGACCACTGCCTTTCCCCGTGCCTCAGTTTCCTCATCTGTAAAATGGAGCAAAATCCTGCTGGTGTACTCCATGGGACTGTCATTCATTCAGCCCAAAGAAATGGAAAGAAATTGCAAGCTGCCAAAGGATATCCAATACCTTCATCACAGGGCACGTGTATTCTTTAAGTTAAAATTAAGTAAAATTACATGAAATAAAAAAGGTACTCAGTTGCACTTGGAACTGGCTCTTACTAACTGACCAGTGGTCACATGTAGCTACTGGCTACCTTACTGGGTAGTGTAGACACAGACCATTTCTATCACTACAGAAAGTTCTACTGGACAAGGCTGGGGTGAAAAATGATGGCCCGCAGGCCCACTGCCTGCTTTTATAAATAAAGTTTTACTGGAACACAGCCACGTCCATTTGTTTCCATCTTGTCTAAAGCTGTGGAGAGTTGAGTAGTTGTGACAGACAGAGTGTGACCTGCAAAGTCTAAAATATTCATATCTGCCGTTTTAAGAAAGCATTTGCTAGGGCTGAGTACAGTGGCTCATGCCTGTAGTTTCAGCACTTTGGGAGGCTGAGGTGGGAGGATGCCTTGAGGCCAGGAGTTCGAGATCCACCTGGGCAACAAAGCAAAACTCCGTTTGTAAAAAAAAAAAAATTTTTTTTTTTTTTTTTTTTTTTTTGAGACGGAGTTTCGCTTTTGTTACCCAGGCTGGAGTGCAATGGCGCGATCTCAGCTCACTGCAACCTCCGCCTCCTGGGTTCAGGCAATTCTCCTGCCTCAGCCTCCTTAGTAGCTGGGATTACAGGCACGTGCCACCATGCCCAGCTAATTTTTTGTATTTTTAGTAGAGACGGGGTTTCACCATGTTGACCAGGATGGTCTCGATCTCCTGACCTCGTGATCCACCCGCCTCGGCCTCCCAAAGTGCTGGGATTACAGGCTTGAGCCACCGCGCCCGGCAAAAATTTTTTTTAATTAGCTGGGTGTGGTGGCAGGCACCTGCATTCCCAGCTACTCAGGAGGCTAAGGCAGGAAGACGGCTTGAGCCTAAGAGTTTGAGGCTGTAGTGAGCAATGAATGTGCCACTGCACTCCAGCTTGGGTGACAGAGACCCTGTCCCTAAAACTAAGTAAATTAAAACAAACAAATTTGCTGACCCAAGTCTAGAAAACAATAATAATCAATATTAGTAATTACTAACTGTCAACCTTTTGGAATTTTTTTTTTTTTTTGAGATGGAGTTTTGCTCTTGTTGCCCAGGCTGGAGTGCAGTGGCGCAATCTTGGCTCACTACAACCTCCACCTCCCGGGTTCAAGCAATTCTCCTGCCTCTGCCTCCCAAGGAGCTGAGATTACAGGCATGTGCCACCACACCTAGCTAATTTTGTGTTTTTAGTAGAGATGGGGTTTCTCCACATTGGCCAGGCTGGTCTCAAACTCCTGACCTCAGGTGATCCGGCCTCCTCGGCCTCCCAAAGTGTTGGGATTACAGGCGTGAGCCACCACACCTGGCCAACGTTTTGAAATATTTTTTGGCTCTGGCTTCACCAGCATCATTTCATCATTTCTTTCGGAGCTCTATGAGGGAAGCACTATATACCTGTTTTATAGAAGCAGTGAGTGAAGCCCAGAGCATTGGAAGCACAGGTGAGAAAGCACAGAGCTTGGATCTGAACCTAGGCCCATCTGACTGCAGCCTCAGCCTTGGATGATCTGCCTCTGCCCCTGCCTCCCAGACCCGCGCACCTCCCTCCACTTGGCATCGCTCTTCTGCTGGATGGTCGCCGGGTCTGGCTGGAAGGTCCCCAGAGGCGCGTGAGCGGATGACAGGAGCTGAACGCACAGCTGGTACTTTGACCCGCAGTCTGGCCTGGCTGCGAACCTGCAGGGAGTGGGAGGGCCCATCAGGGCCTCGAAGATTGGGGGCAGGGCAGGGGTGGGGCGCCTGAGTGGCATGCCCCCCCCCAGACCCTCGCCCCAGGCACTCACCAGTCCTTGACCTCGATGTCCGGCCGTGTGTTATCCATCAGCTCCTCCCAATACCCTTCAGCCTTGAGGTCCACCACCTGGGACTTGAGGCAGGTGCTGGGGGCAGGCAGAGGGGTGGGAGGGGCTGGGGCCCACCACTAGGGCAGTGAGGGTCTAGGACTGCCCCTTCCTGGGGTAGGAGAGACCCCAGGATAAACTGATTTGGGCTTTCCCCGACCCAAGTCCCCGAATCTTACTAATATGAAGTCACGAAGTATTTCTTGACCTTGTCATTGGGGAATTCCTTCCTCTGGTCTTTCGAGAAATCCTCCACCTTCCACTCATCGCCTCCATTCACGTCCAGGCTCCAGAACTCGAACCCCTCTGGTGGAAAAGCAGAGTTCACACTGAAGGGAAGCCCCTCCGTGGCCACCTTCTCCCCATCCCCCTTCCTCCCTGCTCCTCTGCTTGCATCTTGGCGGCTGCCCTCAAGCCCCGTGCTGTGGGACGCTGAGGATCACAGTGCCCACCGAGTCCTAGGTGCTTTCTGTGTCAAAGGCACAGGAAGGTAATTTCCCTGGGGGCCCTGAGACACATGGTGATGCGGATGGCCAGACCTTCTGTGATGGTGAACGCTCTGATGTGGGCCAGACAGACGTGGGTCTAATCCCAGCTTGACGAGTACTCCGCTGTGTGACCTTGGGCCAATTGCTTTTCCTCTCTAAGCTTTGGTTGTCTCCTCTGTAAGCTGGAGTAAGAACAGGGGCTGGGAGGCTTTTTGGCAAAGTGCCAAAATATTTTAGGTCTGTGGGCTACATATTATCTTTACTGCATAGTTTTTTGTTGTTTCCTCTTCTTTTTTTATGACCCTTTAAAAATGTGAAAATGATCCTTATTTTTTTTTTTTTTTTGAGACGGAGTTTCGCTTTTGTTGCCTAGGCTGGAGTGCAATGGCGCAATCTCGGCTTACCGCAACCTCTACCTCCCGGGTTCAAGCAATTCTCCTGCTTCAGCCTCCTGACTAGCTGGGGTTATAGGCGCCTGCTAATATACCATGCCTGGCTAATTTTTGTATTTTTAGTAGAGACAGGGTTTCACCATGTTGGCCAGGCGGGTCTTGAACTCCTGACCTCAGGTGATCCACCCGCCTTGGCCTCCCAAAGTTCTAGGATTACAGGCATGAGCCATCGTGCCCGGCATAAAACAATTCTTAATGCTTTAGCCAGATTTGGCTCATGCATAGCTTGGAGGAGTTGTTTTATTATCATTTTGCTCCAGAATTTGGTCATGTTGTGGAAAACGAGGTTCCCATCCCATCCCAGTGTCTACCTGACAACCCAGCAAGCAAGGAGCTGTAGAAGCCTTGCTTTACCTGTTGTAACATACTGGGAAGAAGGCTGGATCTCCCATTCTTCTCCCACAAGCAAAACCCCTTTGGCCCTCTGGGGACTGTGTCAGTAGGACCAACCCTGGAGCCCGGAAACAAATTATGGGTCTGACCTTCCTGGCCTTGTGTTGCTGCTTTTTTTTTTTTTTTTTTTTTTGAGACAGAGTCTTGCTCTGTTGCCCAGACTGGAGTGCAGTGGCCCTGGCTGTGTCTTGAGAATAATTCGTCCCAGTTGGCCAACATTCCTTTTCCTAGGAAAGGTCACTGAAGAAATAATCTTACGAGTAGAATAAGAGGCTGGGCGTGGTGGCTCACATGTGTAATCCCAGCACTTAGTGAGGCGAAGGCAGGCGCATCACTTGAGGCCAGGAGTTTGAGACCAGCCTGGTCAACATGGTGAAACCCTGTCTCTACTAAATATACACAAAATTAGCTGGGCGTGTTACAGGCGGGCACCTGTAATCCCAGCTGCTCAGGAGGCTGAGGCAGGAGAATCACTTGAACCCGGGAGGCAGAGGTTGCAGTGAGTCAAGATCGCAACATTGCACTCCAGCCTGGGCAACAGAGCGAGACTCTGTCTCAAAAAAAAACAAAAAGAACAACAAAAAAACCCCAAAATAATTATCCAGGCATAATGGTGCATGCCTGTAATCCCAGCTACTTGGGAGGCTGGGGCAGAATTGCTTGAACCCAGGAGACAGAGGTTACAGTGAGCCAAGATTGCACCACTGCACTCCAGCCTGGGTGACAGAGTGAAACTCTATCTCAAAAAAAGAGAGAGAAAAAAAAATAGAATAAGAAACTCCACTCTTGGCCTCAGTCTGCCCATCTGAAAAATGTGTGCACTATCAGTACCCACCTCTTCGGGCAACTGTGAGAGGAGAAAGGAGTTAAACCATCCAAGTACCTGGCTTATACTAAGTGCTCAATACATATTACTTGGTGTCATGACAGTGTGTGTACTGGGGGCATGCCAGACCCGGCCTGTATCCCACCTTCAGCGCAGGGGTTGTGCAGAAGGTTCCTATGCAGGCTCCGTAGGAAGTAGAAGATCTTCCAGTCGGCCACAGGCTGGTCCCAGTCCTCGGTGATGAAGCCCTCTCGCAGGCATTTGCGTTTCCAGAGGGTCACCAGGTCAATGAGGTCCCGCCAGAGGCTGCAGACCAGGCGGCAGTTCACAAGCAGCTGGCGGGCCGGCACGTGCGTGAACAGCTCCAGCAGGATGTTCTCCGGCAGCTCGTTGATGTTTCCCACGGCCATGGCTGGTGGCTTCTGGACACCCTCCTGTGGCTGTTGAAAAGCTATGCTGCAGGCCTCATCCCTCATCCCTGCTCTGCCCTTTATCTCAGGAGACTCATGGTGTCTCTCCCAGCCTCAGTTTCCTTCTCTGTAAATGGGTGCTTTACCTCCAGGGGTCACTGGGGCCGTCCAAGGGGCTTGGGACACATCAGGTGCTCTAATAAAAGCCAAGCTGTCATTTTTTTTCTCTGGCCTCCCACAAGAGGTGGAAAGCAGTGCCCAAGGTCAAACAAACATAAACGTAGAGGAGGCAGGAGCCCGGATCTTCTGTGATTCCAGGGCCAGCCTTTTTCAGTAGGCCAGACAGTCAATGGGGATGTAATGCGAAGCCCGGCAGAGCACCCCAGGCCTCCTGTGCCGTCACCATCCTCTCTCCCATCCTCGGAAGGTGATGGGAGGAGGGCGCTAATTATCACTGCCTCTCGCGGAGGTCCAAAAGGCTGCAGCCAGCTTCTCAAGATCTCAGAAAAAAAGACCTGCCTAGCTGGGAGTGACAAGAGGGTCGGCGACAGGGAAAGGCCCTTTCTATCTCCCCACCCCCACCCCCACCCCCAGCCCCGCGGTTGGGCTCCTCCTGCCTGAAGTCCGCCAGCGCGCCTGCAGCCTCCCCTTCCCACGCTGTGCTTTAAGATGTCCCCCTCCCCCAAAGTCTGGGCTCGGACGTCTGTACATCGGTGGCGACCCCAGCCCGGGTTCGCGGCCGCGTAGCGCAGCCCGGGCAAGCTCGGCGGCCTGGGCCTGGTCGGTGCCAGGCCTTCCTCGGCAACTGCGGCGCGACTGGGAACCCAGGAGCCCTCCCGGCAGCCCCTGCCGGACCGCACGCCCTCCCCAGCGCCCCCCATGCCCCCTCAGGCCAGTCACCTGTGCTCGGCCGTCGCGGCACTATCCGCTGAGCCTCCCGGGCTTCACCAACTGGGCCTGCGCTCGCCCGGGAAGTTAGGCCCCGCCCCAGCCCGCCAGGCCCCGCCCCCCCCGCGCCGCGCCGCCCTGCGCGGGGCCAGGGACGCGCCCCCGACCGTGGCGTAGGAAAATTACCTGGGGTGGGGGTGGGGCGGAAAGCGCCTCCTACCCCCCGACTCCATCTGGGCCACCCGCCCCGCACCCTCAGCCTGACCCAGCCTCTCCCTGCCTCCCCTCGCCGCCTCCTCCCAGCAGCCCTCCAGGAGCGAGCTGGGAGATGCCCCAAATCGGACCCCTCCCCAATTTAACATAACCCAATCCTGACCTTTCCCAGCCTCCTAGGTCCACTGAGGAACCTGCAGCCCCGGGCCTCGGGCCGGCTGCTGGGACTGCGGGGCCGCTGGGCGCGGTGCCAGAGGCGGGGCGGGGCGGGGGCCTTTAAGAGGCGCCGCCGCGGGGACCGACCCAGACGCGGACTGCGCCGGGACTCACCGCCCCGGGACTCCTGCAGCCTGCAGCGCTCCGGCTCCTCCTCTAGCGACCGCCCTCCGCAGCGATGGACGGAGACGGTGACCCAGGTAGCCGCCGTCTGCACCGCTCGCTGCGGCGGGGAGGGGAGACGGGGTCGGCGGGCGAGCGCCGCACAGAGGGGCGTCAGAGCGCGAGGGGGCCCCCGAGACCCGGCGGGCATACTTTCACGCCAGCAAAGTCCTAGAGGCGATCTTCAAAGAGCACATCTCTCTGCCACCTCGGTCTGGCGGGAGGCCATGAGAGGCGACCGGCAGGGAGGGAGGACTCCTGGGTCCCATTTAGCCAGGAAGTATCACCGGAGGACCCCCACATTCCCGCCTTCCAGCTTTCTGTCTGGCGGGGGCCTGGGAAGCGTCTGGGACGGAGGTTGCAAGCCTTTTCTTCCATCAGCTCTGCCATGTGCCCGCTCTGGCTCTGGGGCCGCCTGGATCCCCGTGGGTTCCTTTGGGTCCCTGGCCTGGCTTCACCTATCCCTGCCTTCCTCCTGAGCTCTCTTGCCTGGAAGGGCTTCCCCTCCTCCGGGTGGTGAGATGCCTTGTGAGGACCGGGCCAGCGGTGAGGGAGCGTTGGGGGCAGCTCTGGCTGGTGCTCCGGGCCCTCCCAGACTGCCCAGTCATCCTCTCTGGCACCCAAGACCCCCCACCCCCATACCTCCAACTCCCTGCTGGGCCTGCTGAGTCAGGATGGGAACAAGACCTGCCTGCAGACAGCCACCACTCTTTCCTCATCAGGTCCAGCTGGGGGTGGGCATTGCTTGGGGTAGGCGGTGGCAAACAGACTGATGGAAGCTCAGGCTCCCAAAACCACCCCCCACCTCCAACCATGAAAATACCAGCGCCTGCAGCCCTTGCTCCCAATCCCTGGCCTTCTGGCCACACCCTCTGTAGGGCTACAGAACTGGCTCCTGCTTTTTCCCAGGGCTCAGCTATTCCCTGGACTCTGGGGCCCAATCCAGGTGAGTGAATCAGCCTTGCAGGCAGGCAGCTTCCACGGGTCAGATAACTTTCCGCCAGCTACAATGTGGGGAGTTGTGTGTGCAAGAGGGAGGGTGGGGGGAACTGTAATTGGATCTGGGGACTCTAGTGCCAGGCCCCGGGGCCAGAAGAGGGGACTGGGTGAGGTGCACCTTTCGGGGAGCATCAGGTGTCCACTGGGGCCAGGGCCGGGGAGGGGGAGGATTGAAGAGGTGAGGACACTGGGCCCAGCTCCCCAGAGAGCTGAGGGCATTTTCATGGGCAGGTAATATGGCTTCAGACCTTTTCCTCTGTCTTCCCGCTGTTCTGTGATGTGGTCTGGGGGAAGCCATTAAGCCCCTTTTGGTCTCCGTTTCCTCTTTGCCAAAGGGGTAGGTGTAAATCCTCACATCATAAAGATGTGGCCAAAGAAAAAAAAAAAAGCTAACAAGGAAGGAGAAGTGCTGTGTTCAATGAGGTTCACTCAGGAAGACTGAGGGCTCACTGTGTGCTCTGGGCTCAGAAAGCTCTCAAGGGCCTGACTGTGTGCTGGGCAGGGAGGAAAGGCTGCATGTGAGGAGGTTAGGGGCTGGTGGGCCTGGAGACTTGGATCTGGGCCCTGCCACCTGTCCCCTTCCCCAGTGCCTGGACTGTGCCCACCACTGCCTTGGCTCTCCCGGGCCTAGCCCTCAGGAACTCTGCGTTCGTAGATCTGAGAGCTGTGGTCTCCCTGATCACCCAGAGTGGCCCTGTCTCCTCACTGGCTCTCCCTCATCCAGGCATCTGGGGCACTCGGCGTCCATTTACTCAGGGCTGTGACGGCCCAGCTGAAGCCGACTGGGATCCAAGAGACAGTCCGGCTGCCGCGTGACATCCGCCCACCTCTTTACAATTCAGAAGGCCCTTACCTCCCTCCTCAGGGGATTCGGACATCTGTCATGTCTGTATGCCCTGGCACAATGATTACCCCCATTTTATAAATGAGAGAACTGAGGGCTAGGGGAGGGGAAAGAAGAGGTGGAGAAAGTTTCCTTCCCCAAGCCCCTATGTCCTCTCCTTGCTTGATACAGTTTCTTTTAATGAGTCCCTCCTCATCCCCAAGTCACACAATAGCTGGGTCTCTCGGCTCTGTTCTCCCTACCCTGAAGGCCTCAGGTCCCATGTCCCCTTCCCTAAATCCTGGCAATGTGTCCGTCAACAAGTCACTTCATCCCTGAGCCTGAGCATTTGCACTTGCAAAGTCAAAATCCTGGCCTGGGTGTGGTGGAACATGACTGTAATCCCAGCACTTTGGGAGGCCGAGGCAGGAGGATTGCTTGAGTCCAGGAGTTGGAGGCCAGCCTAGGCAACATAGTGAGACTGCATCTTTAAAAAGAAAAGTTGTCTGGGCGAGATGGCTCACTCCTGTAATCCTAGCACTTTGGAAGGTCGAGGAGGGTGGATCACCTGAGGTCAAGAGATCGAACCATCTTGGCCAACATGGGGAAACCCCGTCTCTACTAAAAATACAAAAAGAAAAATTAGCTGGGCGTGGTGGTGTGCATCTGTAGTCCCAGCTACTGGGGAGGCTGAGGCAGGAGAATTGCTTGGACCCGGGAAGTGGAGGTTGTAGTGAGCCGAGATTGCGCTACTGCACTCCAGCCTGGCGCCTGGCGACTGAGCGAGATTTTGTCTCAAAAAAACAAAAACAAAAATTAGCCAGGCGTGGTGGCACATGCCTGTAATCCCAGCTACTTGGGAGGCTGAGGCAGAAGAATCGCTTGAACTGGGAGGCAGAGGTTTTAGTGAGTAGAGATTGCACCACTGCTCTCCAGCCTGGATGACAGAGCAAGACTCCATCTCAAAACAAAAACAACAAACTAGAAAAGTCAAAATCCTAACACTGCCTACTAATTCAGTGAATTATTTTGTGGAGGCTGTGATGATTTAAGATGGCTCTGGAGTCAGACTGTCTGGGTTCAAATCCAGGCTCCAACCACTGATTAGCTATGTGATCCTGGGCTGTTTCACCTCTTTGTGCCTTAGTTTCCTGATCAGTGAAATAAGGACCGCAGGCTGGGCACAGTGGCTCATGCCTGTAATCCCAGCACTTTGGGAGGCCGAGGTGCGTGGATCACCGGAGGTCGAGAGTTTGAGACCAGCGTGACCAACATGGAGAAACCCTGTCTCTATTAAAAGCACAAAAAATTAGCTGGGCATGGTGGCGCTTGGCTGTAGTCCCAGCTACTTGGGAGGCTGAGGCAGGAGAATTGCTTGAATCCAGGAGGCAGAGGTTACGGTGAGCGGAGATCAAGCCATTGAACTCCAGCCTGAACAACAAGAGTGAAACTCCATCTCAAAAAAAAAAAAAAAAGAAAAAAAGAAAAAAGGACCGCAATAAGAGCAGTCCTTTATGAGGATTTACTTTTACTTTCTGTTTTTTTTTTTTTTTGAGATGGAATCTCCGTCTCCCAGGCTGGAGTGCAGTGGCACGATCTCGGCTGACTACAACCTCCGCCTCCTGGGTTCAAGCGATTCTCCTCCTTCAGCCTCATAAAAGTAGCTGGGATTACAGGTGTGCACCGCTATGCCTGGCTAAAATTTTTAAATATTTTTAGTAGAGACAGGGTTTCACAATATTGGTCAGGCTGGTCTTGAACTCCTGACCTTGTGATCTGCTTGTCTCAGCCTCCCAAAGTGCTGGAATTAAGGGCAAGAGCCACGGCGCCCAGCTGGTATGAGAATTTAAAGAGCAAATGAAGTTGAAATGCTTTGGACAGTCCCTAACACTTGTTGAGTAGCCCAACACATAAGCTCCTGACAACAAACCAGGCAAGGTGCCAGAGCCCGGCACAGGGCATGAAGCTGTGTTTTCCAGACCATGTTCTAGACCTCATGAGGCCAGAGACAGGTGTTTATCACAGGATCACACCCCAGGAAAAAAGCTTGGAACGGCTGTGTGGGGGTGGGGTGGGGTGGGGGGGGGGGGGGGGGTGGGGGGGTGTCATGGGAGAAGTCCCGGAAGACTTCCTGAGGAGGTGAGGGGAGCAGGGATCTCAGAGTGTGCTTGGGAGAATGAAAGGAGTTCCTGTGTGAAAGGGTTAGGACAGTGCTATAGATAGACGTCATTAATAATAATAATATGATCCTTGCTGCTATGTATCTGCCCAAGCCTGGAGTTTACTGGTCCAGCTGAGGAAACAGGCACCTCTTTGGACTTGGGGGCTGATCCAGGGTTGGTGTGTGGCCCTGTGGCCCTCCTCCTTGGACACCAGTCTGGAGTCACGGAATCTCCAGCCCCAGCTGTGGATTGTCCCACGGTGGGTGGGGGAGGATACAGGTACATTGTAGTCCTGGGGCCTGGAGGGGGACAGCGTGCGGGAGTCACAGCCACCCACCCACGCCTACCTGCAGAGAACGTGGGCCAGCCGGAGGAGGCAAGCCCGGAGGAACAGCCGGAGGAGGTGAGCGCCGAGGAGGAGCGGCTGGAGGACCAGGAGGAGGAGGAGGAGGCTGCGGCCGCGTACCTGGACGAGCTGCCCGAGCCGCTGCTGCTGCGCGTGCTGGCCGCGCTCCCGGCCGCCGAGCTGGTGCAGGCGTGCCG